CAGCACAGAATCTCAAAGCCCTCCCGGCTCCTCTCAAAGCATCCAGCGCTGAGCGGGATGGGCCTGGCTCTCGCCAACGGGCACCACCTAGAGACTAAACCAGAAGCGAAGAACTGGACGGTGAGAAGATGGGATCTGTCTGGTGCTGCACGGGGGGCAGCAGCCGGAGGGGAGGCTCAGAACTCAATCTTGCAGGCTGGGAAGGATTCGTCCTGCATGACTACGGTGCTGCTGCTGGCCAGCACCATGATGTTCAGCTCCTGCTGCTTCTCGTGGGTTTGCTGGTACCACTCTCGCGTCACCTCGGTGTCGTGTGTCGGAATGAGCGTTACCTGGAACGGACAGAAGAGAACGGGCAGGCCTGCTGCTCTCCTGCGTTAGCGCCCCACACCTCTGTAGCTGCCACTCAGCCCCAGAGGCCTGGGTTGCTCCTTTCCCAGACACCTGCTCTGCAGAGGCTTGAAACTTGTAACTCTGCGGGCATGGGGTGCTACGAGGATGAAGGACAAAAGGCCAGTGTGGGAGGCGAGTGGCTGTGCTGGAGAACTGAGCTGGGCAGTAGAACCGAAAGTCACAGCAAATCGGAGTTTACAGGGGCTCCCGCAGTGGCTGTGGAGACTGGAAAGCCTCTCCCTCCCCAGGGCAGAACATGAAACTCGGGCCCTGGCAGCCTAGTCTGACCTGCAGGGACAGGCACCACCCAGCCCTCGCTGAGCCCGGCAGGGAGGGTGCTCAAAGCAGCAGCTGCTGATAGTTGAAAGGAGTTAACAGGAAGTTACTGTCAGATTGGTCCGGCTGCCAGGGGAGCCCGTCGCTGATACCACGAGGGGCTGCTCTGCTGGTTACTTTCCAGCTGGTTTCTGCCTGAGGACAGTTTGTTTTCTGCTGCGGGGGCAGGGGGGTGAGTGATCTGTAAGAGCATGAATCTCATCCTAGGGCAAAGACTCTGCCCGCCACCTTTCCTGCCCAGCCCTCAGGCTGCGCTGACTTCCTGCCTGCAGGCGACTGAGGAACAGGAGCACAGTGGCAGGTGATTGGCGCCCAAGCCCGTACAGTGAAAAAATCCCAGGCCCACCTACCTCCCTCTCATGCACCACCAGGCGGGTTTTTCCACGGTGGGCCAGTGTTGTAACAGGTGCATTCTCCCTAGAATTCCACAACACAGCGCCCATCGCACGGTCACCTACCTGCAGGTTCTCACCCCACTGGGACTTTCCTTCCAGAAGTGCATCGAGCACAGCCCGGCTGGGCTCCCCGCTGGCCGGATCATTGCCACTCACGACGTAGTATGAGGCTCGCACCCTCTTGAAGAACTCCAAGTCTGTGTTCTTTCCACTGCAGTGATTGGGGACGTAGGCCAGGTCCACATAGACAGGAGGCCCAGGGGGCACAGACAGGCTGCTTTTGGGGCTACTGGAAACTTTGGAAAAGAGAAATCAGAGGCAAACAAAATCCTGAAGTATCTGGGACGCAGGAAGACTAAGTTAAAGGGCCTAGGCTGGTTCCTTCGCTCCACTACTGAGAGCAAACCCAGGTGAATTGTCTGCCCCAGCAGGTGCCCATAAACCAGGGCAAAGGGAAAGGTCTGCAGGTCTTTGGTGCCTGACTGAGCCACGCTGGATCAGGCCCGGAATGGCCTTTGCTGCAGAAGGAAACAAATTCCCCTTGTTTAGTTTTGCGAGTCATTTCCCCCAGGTGCTACCTGGTGAAATAGCCTCAGCTTCGCTTCTTAACCTCGCCTGGTTCTAGCAACATCTCCTGACGTCCTTCAGCTGACAGTCCTCAGGCATCTACAGCCCTGCCTGGCTCTTAGCGATTCCTGGCTGTTCTTTCTGATGACTGGTTCACATGCCTCGTCAGTAGCTCTGCTTCCCCATGTCTGCATCCTCCAGTCAGGGCATCAGCAGTGGCCCCACGAGCAGATGCACAGTGCCCACACAGGCAGGCGAGGACTGAGCATGGAGCTCTGAGACTGCCTGCATGCTGGTGCAGACTCACCGCCAGCCACGTGCACACAACCACAGCCGTGTGCACAGCAGCACCATGCCACGGACACGAGGAAGTGAGCGCATCGGTGCCCCTAAGTCTCTTAGGCCAGTCACGCTAATGCTCTCACCACGGACGGTTTTGTGGGTTAAACCCAAAGTCTGACTGGGAAGAAAGAAGCGAAGCGGCTCGATCCGTGGCCCCATTTGCCCCCCACCCCCTCCCGGAGGCGGCAGTTTCTTTGCATGGCAGCAGCAGGCGCCAGTGTTCAGGCACTGCAGGATGGGCCCCTCCAGCACCTGGTGGCTTGTTGCACTTTCTAGTAGGCATCTGTCCACGTCTCCAACGCCACCTAAGGGCAACCCCTTCCCCACCCCCTTCCTGTGCCAGTCCCCCTCCCTTCCCCCCAGGCCGTCCCCCCCCCCCCCCCCACATCTCCCTAAG